ACTACGTTTTTTTAACTCTCTATATAAATTAAAAGTGGATTGAATGTATTATAAAATAAGCAATAAATTAATAACAAAATAAAGTAATACATTATATTTAATTATCAATTTTATTTTTTTTTATTAAACTCAATCCTCACTTTACCACTTTCTTTAAAATGGCTATGAAGTAAAATAAGAATAAAAAAATAAAAATTAAAAATTAAAAAAAATTAGAAAAAGTAAAAAAATGTAATAAAAATATAAAAATAAGAAGATTATGAAGTAAAAGTTATTATCATTTTTGTTGCGGGCTAGAATATATGCGGCGATATAGTTGTAATTTTACGTCTTAGCGTTGCACGGATATCCAGCTCATACATAGAGAACATAAGATTTTTTACGTGAAAACCCCTAGAAATGAGAAAAACCATGGGTTGGAATGGATTGGTTGAACAAGTATTATGCTAAAATTGATTGTAATAAGAAGCATATGCATCTAAGTGTGAATGGAAAGATGTACTTTTAGGGTGCTAGAAGTGCCTTATCTTCTTTATTTTTGTATTTCTTCATAATAAAAAGTTTTTAAGTCTTTTTCTGATTGTCATTTTGTAGACATCTCCAATATTCCAAATCATAGCTTTAATTATTAATCCATACTAGTTTTACATCTAGCATTGTTCCTAGTATATCTTTTTGGGGGAGAAGTCTTTAATTTTCCTTTTGTCTTTGAGCTTGTTGTGTTTGCTACTAATCACCTAATCTTTTATGTTTTTCGGATGATCATCACAAGTAGATATTTTAGTAAGAGACTGAGAATGGTGCATTAGATATCATAATAAATGACATGTATAAGGTCATCATCCAAGAGACCCACCTCGTTATGACCAAGAGACCCACCTCGCTAAGGTCATCATTATCACTCTTACAAAAAAAATTCTTTCCGGGGGCGCTGCCCCCGAAAACCCCCACATGGGTGTTGTCCCTTGACCCCGCGACCTGACCTGTCAGGTCGAACCCTGCCAGGGGGCAGCCCCCCCTTGGACCCCCAGCAAACTCGTATATTGTTGTATTCATGCTGTCTTATTATTAAAATATTTTGATTTCACTTCATATCTTGTGCATTTTTATATTTTATATATTATTTACTCGTTAGTATTTAATAAAAGACGTAATTCTTAAATAGTGCAATTTTTTAGCAGCCATTGTTTTATGACTAATTGAAACTTCTCTTTTCAAAGTATTTAAGTAGCGTCAATTTCACATTACCCTAGAAGTGTGAAGCATGAACAACAACTTTCAAAGGTTTACCAAATCTTGTCTTAAGGAATAAAGGATATGGTGATTACTCAATTGAACCTTAATATTTCGGAAGGAAATCCAAATGGAAAATGAGAGTCTTTTATTAACATCAAAGTGGAGGTTCATTTTAATAGATGCATGTGCAAACTAATAACATAATAACACTACCTAGAGAATACATATGTATGGTCTGTTTCAATCTGGAAGCGAATTTGAATATGATGGACATCTAAATGATCTAGATTGTATTGCCATACAATATAAGATCTAGAAAAAAGTCCTAAGATCAACCACCTTAGGTTTATCATAAGAAGTTTTCCTATTGCACGGATATTTAGCTCACACTAGAGAACACAAGATTTTTTACGTGGAAACCCCTAGAAAGGGGAAAACCCATGGGGCATAGCCCAGTTGAAAAGTTTTAACTAGAATTTGAATTGAGTACAGTGGGCTGACTCGTCCCAAAGGGCGATCAAATTATAAATGTCAACCGTATGTTTGAATTCTAGTGTTAAATATAGCCTCACTTGGAAGTTGGGGAGTGAGTTAGTAGTCTAATAGTGACTTGGAAGAATTCTGGTGTCAGTTGATGGTCTGACGGAGTTTAGAGCCACAAGTAGTGCTCTGGCGGAGTTCAGGCCCTTAGGTGGTGATCTGGCGGAGTTCAGGCCCTTAGGTTGTGATTTGGCGAGGGCGAGGGCTTCAAGTGGTTGTCTGGCGAAGGCGAGGGCCTCAAGTGGTGGTCCGGTGAAGGCGATGGGCTCAAGCGGTGGTTCGGCAAAGGAGAGAGCCTCCGGCGGTGGTCCGGTGAGGGTGAAGGCCTTAGGTGGTGGTCCAGCGAAGGCGAGAGCCTCAAGTGATGGTTCGGTGAAATCGAGGGTCTCAAGTGGTGGTCCGGCGAATTGAAGGAGAGGGCCTCAAAAGATGGTCCAGTGAAGGAGAGAGCCTCAGGTGGTGGTCCGGTAGAACGACGTCAGGAGGTGGTCCAGCGGAACTCAGGCGGTGGTCGAGGAGGAGCTTGTTCCTTCTCTTCTCTTCTCTTCTTCTATTCTTGTTTCGATCCCTCTTCAAGAGAAATGAGTGATCTATTCATAGATTTTTGGAGTGGCATGACCCGTAAATAGGTGAGAGATCAAGGGTAAATGGGGAGTGGTTGGATGGATAGCTGATGTTGAATCCCTTGATCATGGACCGTTTGATGGACATTTGAATGTCTTAGTGAGGTCGGATTTTAGTGATCTTGGGTTCGTTGGATTCGTCTCGTCGAGCCCCGCAATTTGACTATAAGAATGTTATGTTTGGAAACCGTTTGGTAATCCAAAGTGTGGTTCGAAGCTTCCAACAGCGTTTCTAACTCTTGCTTTGGACCCGTTTGGGTTCGGATTTGGTTGGATTTGATATCGTTGGGTTTGTATTCTTGAGACGCTCTGTTCAACTATAAGTTTGCTGAAATTGGAGTTCGGATGGTCCCAATTTTAATTTTGGAAGTTTCCAACTTGATTTTGCATCGAGATTCATGCCTGATCAAGATAATTTTTTGATGACATATCAAGCCTAAATCAAATCTAAGATCAATAATTAAATAAAATACAACTATTTGTCTAAGACTTTGCATGTGAGAGTTTCTTATTGTTTCACTTTTTAAACGTCACAATTTTTTTATTTTTAAAAAATTATTTTCTCGATCTACAGCAACTTTATAATTATATTTATAAAAAATCTCATTTTGATGGGTCACCAAATGTTAAAAACAATTTGAGATTTATGTTTACTGAGTGGTTTTGTAGTTCTTTAATATTAATATTTCTTCGTTGTCGTTTTGGTTTTGTTAATTGGAATTTGATTATTTCAAAACAGTATTTCAGGTCTACATTTGTCAATATAGCTTGACTCGATTCTTGACAATGGTGTTAGATATCTTATTTTAAATTTTTAAAATATTTTAGATTTATTATGAAGAGAGAATAATAATATATTATTAAAATAAAAATATATAAATATATTTATAAAATAAAGATAATATTTTTAATTTGGTTGTCCAATTGAATGCATGCAAACTCAGAACAATAATCCACTTGGCCTTGTCTAATTAAACCAAGAAAATTCTTTTTTTAAAAATGAAATTAATTTTATGTTTACTTATTTCATGTGAAAATAAAAATGACTTATTATAGGATTTTGCTTTATGCAATTTTCTCTCTCCTGAATCTAATAAAAATGCTATTACTTTTGATTTAACAAGTTTTCAGAGTGTAAGTTTTGATAGGTTGTACATAGGGGTGTCAATTTTGACGTGACCCGAAACATGATCCAAATCCGACCCAAAAAAATCCGGGTTAAGGTCAACCCGGACCCGAAATGGGTCGGGTTCGGGTTCAACAAATCAACTCGTTTTAAAAATCGGGTCGGGTTCGAGTTGACCCAATAACCCAAAAATGACTCGAAATTGACCCGAAATTGACACGGAAACTCCTATTTGACTCGAAAACCCAAGATTGACCCGTTTTTGACCCAATTTTGACCCGGAAATTGAATATTGACCGAAAACTAGTAATTTTAGGTGAACTTTGGGTCATTCGTGTCGACGGGTTGACCCGGACCCGAATCAGGTCGGGTTCGGATTGACCCGAACAGTGCTGGGTCAGTTTCGGATTTGACCCGAACCCGACCTATTGACCCGAATTGACACCCCTAGTTGTAAAAATGTTCATTCTAAATAAGTCTGTATGATCATAATGAGTTCTTAACGGTTCAATCTGCATATATAATTTTTTGTATGAAATGAGTATGAACAATACATGTAAGCCCTCATTAAAAGTACGTTCATTTTATTCAGATAGGTTTATCAGACACTCATAGCAAGTCTCATGTGACATGGTATGCATTTTGACATGTCTAAATAGATAAGACATGCACTGTTCTATGATTAGTGAAATACATACATAACCGGCTTCTAAAATACAAGACATGTATAGTAATTACAAGATCCTAATCTAGTACACATTCTAATTTGATAATGATAGAATATGCATACATGCTATACTAGGTTGTTAAATAGAATATGAATATGTACTATGATGCTTGCAGGCATCATGATAAAATATATTAGCCTTGAGAATTTTAATTACAAAATTATAAAAAATATATCTTATTTTTTTTATATTACGTGATTCTTCATTATTTTTCTTTTACTTTTTCATTCCTTTCATCATTCTATTATAAATATTACTTGAATCATAATCATTTTCTTTCTTTCATAATAAATGAGCTAACAAATGAGCCGGCTCTAACTCGTATAATAAAGCTCGAGCTGATGTTATAAAACTTGAGCTCAAATAATAATGCTCAAACCAGAGGTGATGACTTGAGCTTAACTCCGTTTACACCCCTAGTAGGGGCAAGGAGGTCTGTTTGTGTGAGTCTTTGTGGAATGATCACAACATGGATGGTGGTAGAAGCAGAAGGGCCTAGAGGGGGAAACTTGGCGAGGTTCATGGTGCCTCGTAGAAGAGGCTTAGGCACTGAGGCCTTAAATGGATGGGAGGTTTATAATCGGAGCAAAAGGGGAAGAGAGAGCAGGAAAAAAGGAGGGCCGAGTGTGAGGGCTAGGTTGTTGATTTCTGATCAAAACTGTGTTTTTTTTATTTAGTTTTAAGAATCCAATCAGAAAATCCAAGAACAACTTTTTCCAGCCTCTACAGACTAACAGACATAGAATAAAGGATAAAGAATTAATCTTTAATCAAATCAAATCCGAGCTCTTTAAGACAAGCAGAACTAAAGCCTGCATGCCCCAGCTGCTGATTACATCCAGGCACACAAATAGGGAGCCTGCAAAGAATTTCCAGTCAAAAAATTCAAAAAAACATCTCAATCTAAATACTCCATGCCAAGTGGTTCAGGTACAATCTCTTTAGGCAGTCTCCTGCGAGAGGAGGAGAACTCTCCACCATTCCTTGGCGGCACCGAGCCTGAAGCTATATCTCTCAAACTATGCCGCCAACTCCCAAAGACATTCCATGATCTTCGCGATGAAGAACCTCCAAATCTTGTTGAATCTGAATTGCTATCGTCTCTAACCACTTTCAATGGATTCTCGAGCGCTTTACGAATGTATTTCATGTTGGGGCGTTTAGAAGGCTTAGGATTGAGGCAGGATCTCGCTATGATTGACATCGCCCACACCTCCTCCAAGAGATCTTCGTAAATTATGAGTGATGGATCTATAATTTTTGTAATGAGATCTTTTTTATTGATGTCAATGTATTGTAGAGTTTGCTCAAGCCAATCATTTGTTGAAGCGCCATTGGAGGCACTTATGCCTAGTTTGCCTGTGACAAGCTCAAGCAGAACCTTGCCAAAGCAGTATATATCATAAGAACATGAGGCTACTGGCAAGCCTGCAGAAAGAATAGAATCAGGTAAGGAAGCTTGCGAATTAGACTGGCAGTTCAGGGTGATAGGATTTCAGACAATTATGCATACCTGGGGCATTTTGCTCGGATGTCCTGCAAATCAGAAAGATCATAACATTAAATGAAATTTGTTTTTTGCAAAAATAATAATAATAACTTGAATTTGTCAGTGTGAGATTCAGAAAACATAAATTAGAAAATTGAACAGGTGAGATTGAGGATAAAAAAAAAAGAATAGAAGATATACTAGCAGACTTATATTAAATAGTGGCTTGTGATTTGTTTAACACAAAAAGGAAGGCTTGAGAAGATAGTCTCAAGTAAGAGAGAAATTATTCTGTGCAGTCACCGGATCGTTCAGAGGCGAATCAAAGCGCGTCACGTCACCTAGTACATATGACTTATACACAACAAAAAAATGACTAATACACAGCAAAAAAGTGACGTGGCGTGCTCTAATTTGCCTCCGCACGCCGTCTAGTGACCACACAGAATAACTTTTCCAAGTAAGGGGAATATTGACTATATTGCAGCAGTAAAATTGGCAAATTTCTTCTACTTCGAGGAACAAGCTGTTTAGATGAAATAAGCCCTCATTTTTTTTCCCTTTCTGTTTAGAAAAGGAGAAAAAAAAAACTGTTTGGATGGGACGCTTCTATAGAAATGTTTTTTAGGGAACTTCATTTTTCTACAGTTTTGAGAAGCTTTTTAATATTTGCTTCTCCGTTAAAAAACTCCATTCTCTTAATCATTATTTATAAAACTACATCTTACAAAAAGAGAGGAAGAACCAAACGAAGCCTATCAGCATGTAGCATACTGGCATGCATTTTTAAGTGGGAAATGTTGCTATTTGAAACCACTTCTTCTGGTTTGAGAGGGCTAAGATGTGTTAATCTGTCACAATAGAGGGAAAAAAAACAGCATTTATTGAATAATACTCCTTTTCTTTTGGTTGGAGAGGATTAAGATGTGTTAATCTATCACAATAGAGAAAATAAAAGAGCATTTATTGAATAATACTCCTTTTCTATTATGCTTTGGCATGAACTTATGTGGTTTAGCTTACAAATGCTTTTAATATAAGGATAGAAGGAGAATATGCTTTGAAATATTATATGTTTGATGGAAGGATTTCATCAGACCTTAGAATTTGGATTGATAACCAGATTCTATGAGAGCAATGGTAGATCTTATAGGAGATTTGCTTTCATAAAAAAACGTTGATCCATGTGAAGGATCCTTCATCTCTTGTGCAAGTAGTGCGGCTATAAAATAAGGATGATTCTTTTAGAGTTTCATAAGCCATGCTTTGGAGATTTTCACAAAATATCCTTCGGCTTAAAGTGTTGTGTATTTGGACAAGCAATTAGATATCTCTTTTCAGAATAAGACACAAAATGTAGTTAAAAGATATAACAAAATAATTGAAAAATCATTCAATCAGAATGATTTGTAGAATTTAGCTATCAGCATAGCAACCGAAGGGGAAACTTACTGTGAAAACCGAAATAATCTCGATATGACACTCTGATGGTCATCTCCTTCTTCAGCACATACATAGCTCAAGCTTCCAAGCCGCACCTCAAATTTATCATCAAGAAGAATACTACTGGCTTGGATATCTCTGCATTCCAAGGAAAAAGTTGGTAAACAACTAGATATATTTCTCATTTGAACAACTAGTTTTTGAAAAATGGCTACCAAATAATCCATCACAGCATGTCGGAGGTCCAAGGGGGCAGCGCCCTTAAAACAAATTACTTGTAATAAAGATTAAAAAATAGATAGAGGGAAACACATTACCTAATGAATTATGAATTAAATAATTTTTTTATTCATATATAGCATTTAGTGAGTCAAAGGGGGATCCGCCCCTAATGGTAGACTAACTAAATGCTATATATTTGATCAAGCAAACAAATATTCAGCATATGTTTGAGGATATCATAATATATTTCCATCATTTGCAGTGACTAAGAGAATATTCAAGTTGCATAGATTTACAAAGTGACATAACGGCAAGGCCTACCTGAAAAACCTGAGAGCAAAAAACAACAATAAAAAAGAAAGAAAATGACAACAACAGGCAATGAAGGTTGTAAAGCATAGCCTAACATTACAGCCACTATGTGGTTTTTGAGCTTCCTATTTAGAATTTTCACATGTTTCATTCCATTGGCAGTGAATTTTCATCTGAAGCAATAAAAACAATAAAGAATTAACTTCTCTACAGACAATGACAGCTGCAGCTTTGAAAAGAAACTGTCCTAGAAAACTATAATTATTTAACCCTAAATAACATAAATTTTGCAGAAACTAAATCATTAACATGCATGTATTTGGATTTATGGTGAAAAAACCAGTAAAATTAAGAACTTGAAGACTTAACTAAATGAAAAGTTACCTATGAACTAATGGTGGTGTAAACTCAAAATGCAGATGACAAAGAGCTTCAGCCACACCTATTGCAATCTTCAACCTGGTTATCCAATCCAATGACTGCAATCCATCATCTTCCGACTCAGCCTTTCTGTAAAGGGCATTAGACAAGTCGCGATGTGGCATTTGTCTATAAACCAGGAACTTCTCATTCTCATTCTGCAGGCAATGCCCCAAAAGGCTAATCAATCTCTCGTGCGAAGATCTACCAAACAAATCCAATTCAACCAAATAATCTTCCTTCCTCACATTGTTCATATCTATCCTTTTCACAACTACTGGACTCCCATCTTCCAAAACTCCATTGTACAGATCACCTGAATGACCTTGCTTGATGAGGTTATCCTCACTAAAATTTGAGGTTGCGAAGGCCAGCTGCTCATATGTGAAGACCTCTCCAGTATTAGGCGATTTGAAAGATAACTGAGAAGGCTGAGCCGGGCCTCCGTCATGAGTATAAGTGGCAACAGCATCCACATTCATCTCCTGCCCAGCTGAATGAACTCTACATTGCAGTATAAACAGCACAATCGAAGTTAAAATGAATACAAGGAGAGCAGTTCCACAAACAACTGCGATCAAAATATATTTCCATGTCTTCTTGCTCTTCGAATTCACTTTTCCGTCATAAGGTATGCCTCTCTCACGGTAGAATTGCTCACACTCAGTTGTGCTTCTCTGGCTTGAATCATTTAGAAAGCAATTAGAAGCAATAGAGATATGTCTACTATTTTTGTCAAACGGTGCTGAACCTTGAAAATAATTGTTAGATATATCTACAAAATTGAATCTTGATGACAGGATAGAAAACTGGGAAGTGATTGAACCATACAAAAGATTATGCGACAGATCAACTTCAATACCGGTGTGACTAAAATTTGCCACAGAGAAATCTGGCAGATTCCCAGTGAAATTATTGTATGAAACATCAAGAAACTTTATCTCTGGCAAAGAGAAAACAGAACCAGGAATCAAACCAGAGAATTTATTCCGGGACAATGCAACTGATTCCAGCTTCGAAAGACTTGAGAAAAATTCACCCTTTATAGAACCAGTTAGTAAATTGCTACCGAAGTTCAAATTTTTCAAGCTTTTTAAGTTCTTCAAACTATCAGGCAAAGATCCGATCAGTAAATTAGAGCTCAAATCCAGCGAAACAAGTAAAGAGAGGTTTCCGAGGGATGAGGGTATTTCGCCGGAGACAGACGCGTGGCTGAGGTCAACGACGGCGAGTTCGGGGTTCAAGCGACCGAACGAGAACGGTATTGGGCCGGGGAGGGAAAAGCCGGTGGCGTTGAAGGAGGTGAGAAAGGAGAGATTATTAAGCCCGTCGACGGCGAATCGGGGATTCATGCGACCGAGCCGGGTTCGACGAAGGCCGTGCAGGTTGAGAGAGATCACATGACCGGAAGCGTCGCAGCCAACGCCAGTCCAACTTGAGCATGGGTCGGCGCCACGTGGCCAGTCGCGTGCGCGGAGGGAGAGAGAGGCGCGCAAGCTGTAGAGAGCGGCGAGATCAGTGGAAGAGGAGATAGTTTGGCCTGCGCTGACAGGAAGGAAGGCGGTGAGAGCAAGAAGGATGACTAGGAGAGGCATCGTGGTGATCGGGCGGTGATCCAACTCAGCGCCACCGTGGCTGACGGCTTTCCCGCATTGCAGGAGGCCAAGTTAGCTGATTTTTTGAAAGCTCAGTGCATTCAATCTTTACTTCCCTTCAGAGAGAGAGAGAGAGAGAGAGAGAGATTTTGAAAGTTGGTATTAATGAGGAATCGGGAACGCCAAACCGCGTCTGAGATGCAGAGAACTTGGCTTTGTAAGATTATAATAAAGAGAGCATCACTAAAAAAAAAAAAACTGCTTCTTTGCGAGTGGACTCGCCGGAAATAGGTGGTTGGAGATATCAGAGGAGGAAGAACTGAGGTGTTGGAAATTCGAGAGAAAAAAATCGGCTCTTTTTTATTTCGACGTTTTCAGCGCGAACGAGAGAGTGGCATTTGGAAATTTTTGGGATCTGCTCTTCTGCATCAAATATTCAAAAATATATATACATATTTAATTCTGACGTATATTGCAAATTTCAAACTAAATTTTAATGATATTTATTTAAATGTATAATCACAGTCAAATTAAATGTACATGAGAAAAAACTGAAATTAAATAACTTCATAATTTTAAAATGTATAAGAAAACTTTAATATAATTTATTCATATTAAAAAATTGTTAATCAAAAAATTTAAATTATGTATTTTAATATCCAATTAAATGAAATATATATATATATATGGAAAAAATCTAAAATTAAATGAAATAAAACAATTTTTTGAGTTAAAGAATATTTGCTTGCAAAATAATTGAAAAACTAAAAATGTCAATTAAATATAATAGAAGTTAGAGAAAATACAATAACAAGATAAAATTAAACAATAAAATAAAACTTTATTCGGAGATAATTTTAATTATATACATGGGGGGACGTGACTCCCCTAAAAATAAAAAAATCAATTATTTAATATGAAAGTTTCAAAAATTAAATCGGAGACCATCTGAACTCCGAATTCAATAAACATACGGTCAAATTGAACGTCTCAAAAATACAAATCCAACGACACCAAATTTGACTCAACCGAGCCCAAACGAGTCCAAATCAAAGACCCGAAGCTCATTTGGATGGCTTAATCCATAATTTGGATTATCAAGCAGGTTCCAAATATGACATGCTTAAACATGAATCGAGTGGCTCGACGAGATGAATCCAACAAGCCCAAGATTGTCAAATTTTGATATCATTAAGATATTCAAATGCTCAATAAACGATCCATGATCATCGGCAGTCCATTCAATATCGAGTAAATTTTAGTTGAAATTATATTAAAATGATTGAATTTGAAACTCACTTAAATTAGCTGAAATGAAAATATTTTAAAGAATCTTGAGTAAATTTTAGCCCTCGACCCAAACGGTCTGCTTCGTTTTCCGCTTTGTTCATCTCTCACCACTCGCGACTCACGATCTCGAGCATAACGCTCATTTTCCTTTTTGCTCATCTCTCGTTCCTAAACGGAGACCGCCCGTGACAGATATTTATATCTTCTAAGTTCTAAATACCATGTTATTTGCATTATTAATTTTGATCTTACAGCTTCTCTTGACTCCGGTAATGAGACAGCAAATAAAACTATTTTAATTTAGGCCCCCATGATAAAATTTACGTCTCCACCACTGGTTATGTAGAAGCTCAAATGATGATTTATAGTTATAATACAATTCTAAATGTAAAATTATCTAAGAGTCAGTATTTAAAATAAAATAAAATAAAATATTTGTATTAATATAACTTTGTATATTTAACACATGCATAATCTATCTATAATACATTTATAAAAATAATTCTAGACGTTTAACTATAACTCACCATTTTTTTAGGATATTCCATTGGCATACCCCAATTTTTTACCTATTGCTTCCCAATTATGCGCATCATATTCATCTTTAAAACTCTTTTCTCATTCTAAGTATAGGAAATCATGGAATTATAGGGAAAAAAAACTAAAAATATGTATCATGAGAAAGTGTTTAAGAATCTAAGGTTTCGTTTGGGACGGTTTTTTTACTGCTTCTTAAAACATCTTTTAGTATTACAAAATTGTTTTAAAAAGCTGCAAGAAAGCTGTCCTAAAAGAAGCCTTAATTTACTTTGATCTGTATGTCATTCATCGGCCTGAAGCCACCTAGATGAAGTCGATTTTACTTTTATTTTCTACATATTTCTTTTTTTAGTAAAATTTTTCACTACTATGTAGATATAGTATATCAAGCTAAATAAAGTAAATATTTTGTTTATTCTTCTACCTCTTTTTTTTTTTTTACAAAGGTGTTGACTTTTTATTTTTCAAACCACAATCTCACAAGTTAAGCTACCAAGGTCTTCTCCTACGACCCGCTATCGCAAGATTGAAAGCTCATCCCTTAACTTCTTATCTGATAGCTTATGATGTCATCTCCTCTTATGATTCATGGTAATATCAATGTCAATGATCATTTTTGACATTTCAAAATTATTAATTTAATTTAAATATTATCAATTTTTATTTTTTATCAAAATATTGTAATTTGAATTGAAATTTTAATCAATTATTTATCGAAGAGGATTTTAATAAATTTATTTATTTATTTATTATCACTTTAAAATATTGTATTCATAGATGGAAGACCGCTCTAAGAGCGTCTCCAGCCGAATGCCTAACACTCGCTTGGCGTCGCTTGTTTGCTTCATTTAATCGACAAAATAAACGTCATTCGCGTAAGGGTGAACAGTGCGATGTTCACATGCTTTTTTTTTTTAATTCAAAAATTATGTTAGAATAAAGTATGAGAAAATAGAGTTCAATGGAGACGTATTATTGCATTTTAAAATATTGCTGTATTTTTTAGTGAAAATTGAGTTATGTTGGTGGAGATGGCCTAAATTAGAATCATATTAGCCTATAACAAGTATATGCTTGGCTCTAAATCAATTGGTTTGATTTTGAACAACCTTAAATTAAGTAAAATCTACTCCAAATTTTATATTTAAAATTTTTATTATTCATAAATTGCATAGATTGCATTTTAATTAAAGGAATGAGAAAAGCAAATTTGTCAAATTATCAAAGAGAATAAAAATTAAAAAAGAGAATTTATATACATAATTTTTGTCATGTGAACATAAGTGGGTTTTGAGATGCGTATTGTACGAGAAAAAGTTTACCTTTTATATTGTCATGTGATGAAATTAAAATATTTTTTATATGTATTCAGAAGTCATCATAATCGGACACGAAATTGATGCAAATCGAAATTGAAAATTAATTTACCCAAAAATAATTAAATTAAAAATTAAATTCGGTTACATTAAAACTCTGATTTCTGCAAATTTATAGTTAAATTGAGCATCTCAATAAGACGAACCCATTAACACCAAATTCGGTCCAATCTAAGCCCAAATCAAGGACAAAAAAAATATTTGAAAGATTCAAAGCATCGATTGGATGACCAAATTATATCAAAATATGACATGTTTATTGTCGAATCGAGCGGAACGACGAGAAGAATCAAGCCCAATATCACTTAATTTTGACATTTATTAAGGAACTTAAATGCTTGATGAACACTTTATGATTAAGATAATCAATATGAGTTATTCGATGAAATACTCTAAATTTATCATGGATCTTCTTTATATTTACTGAGCATGTCACTCTAAAAAAAAAATTAAATAAACCATCATTCATCACATGGAAGAAGGAGGAGGCACAGAGAAAACTAGAGGGCTCTCTTGCATTCTCCAGCCGCCGCCAAATTTCTTTCTAACCACTTATCGTCACCCTCTGACTACGGTCCTTTAGGCTTCCGTCGATTGCCAGTCACGGTCTCTCCGACCACCGTTGTCTGACTATTGTCCTGCCGGCCACCGTCACCCGAATACCGTCCTTCCAACCTCCGTAGGCCGCCTACCACGGTCTCTCCAACGTCGCCCTAACTATGGTCCTTCTGACCTCCATCATCCACCAAACATTGTCCCTCCGACCACAATCACCCAACTATGGTCTTTTCGACCTCCATCGCCCACCAACTACAATCTCTCTGACCACCATCATCCAGCAATGATCCTTCCGACCTTCGTCATCAGTCGTCTATGGTCCATCCAACCTCTATTGCTCAATTACGGTCCTACCAACCAAACAAATAGGACAACACTTTCTTGAGAACAGCTCATTTGTCATTAAATTCTTCCAACTACGAATATGTAATGTGATATATACAATGTATATTTATCACATTGAGCGGCTAAGCCAACACCTTATCAGTCTTGGCACGTACTTCCATGAAGTAATATAAATTCAATTTGAGTCTCCCTCATATATAGTTACATGTAAATATTTTCTATCAATCTCTAACTATATATACACTCTTGATTTCTAAAATCCTCATAGATGAGGTAACTCATGATTATTAACAAAGATTTCTAAGTCATCAAGTGACAAAGTAAACTATAAGACTAACAAACAAAAAAAGATGGAACCATTGGATGTTAATCGGGATGCATCATCTTGCTTGGTAGGTTAATCTTCAGTTTCCTACATCGGCTCATTCCTTTCTCATGGGTAGTTTCCGCCACATAGCACTATATTGTTATTCTTGGGTAGCTCACTCCAATCAATGTGAAGTTATAAGTCCCTTTTTTATGTTCTTTTCGGTGCCTTCAAAAAAAAAATTTCTTGCTCAAAAATATCCTCTTTCGAGCCTCATATATATGATCCTTTTTTACTTTAACATTATCAAATCATCACTAATTCTACCCAATTTGAACACAAACATTGACTCATTAATTGAGAATACTTTGAACAAAAAATTTATGCTTCTTTAAATAGGCATTTATATTTATTTTAAAATTTCAAAAATATTCTCAAAACCACCCCCCTTCAAAATTGATAATTTTATTTTGCAATTAAAAAATAGCTAAAAAAATTAAATCATAAATTTTTATTTACAACTTATAAAGTAATCAATTGAGGCATCAAGCATTAAAAGAAGGTCTATATCTATGGGAGAAGCAATGTCATATAAAAATATTCATCTGATGTCAGATTCATGCTGAGGCACTCAATTGACCCTAAAAAAGTGTTTGACAATTCATTAAAAATGTGCTACCACCTTTTGCTTATTTTTTTATGCAAATGAATAGATCATGCGTTTGATTTT